ATGCGATGAAGTCAATTCGATATGCACCCTACAGCATGGCAACCAGATGTGCCCACAAGACATATGAGGAATACGAAATTTCACAGAGCATGGCTTCCTCACCATGTGCAGTGTCCTCTGATCACTTCTGATCCACTCCATTCAACTACTGCAGGCCGGGGTGTGGGGGCGGGTGTCCGAATTCACAGGCATCAGGGTCGCAGCCCTGCGGAAACCCTGGGCACAGCTCGGGGTGGCAGGGCCGAGGTGAGAAGTCCCCACTTGGACTAAGATGCGGCATTCTCGCTGCTTTGCTGCCTCCCCTGGGTCCCTGAGCGTCATTTTGGCACCAAGGGCATGTTTGACAAACGTGGGTTTTCTTTGGAAAGACAAGGAATGGCCTAGAATAGCTCTAGGACACCACGAGCCTATGTCCTAGTGGACGTGAACCTGGATGCTAACGGTTCCCTAACAGAAACATGTGCACATTTGTGTGTGTGTGTACATGGGTGTGCAAGAGAGTGTGTGTGTGTGCATGTGTGCGTTGCGTGTGCATGTGCACAGAACATTGTACAAAACCTACTTGAATTTCTGACTTCATGTCGATTTTGTAACACACACATGTATTGTTCCAGGAGTCCATGTATTGACCTTCAGCCAAGGGGCACACCTGGCCTGGACACTCACCTCCTCGGTTTCCAGGCCTGAACCCCCCTTTCCGGTGCCTCTTCCGTTTCCCCATTGTGCTCTGAGCCTGGCTTGAGAAGCCTCCAAACCATCCCCTCAGCCCCCGACTTATCCCAGCGCCAAGACAGGCTAATTGCAAATGGACTTTGCCTGTCGGGCCCAAAGGCTGCTTTGAATGGTCTCCATTTCTATTGGCCTCCCCATCCCAACCGCTCCACCAGGAGCGAATCAAGCTCCCCAACACTTTGATTGAGCCTCAGGCTGTCACTGGCAAATTTCACCCTCCACTAAGCTATTCTTCGGCCTCAAATCTCCCGCTGGGCATGTTCTCCGTTAGAGACCTCCATTCTGCCTTCTTGTCTGTGTAAAGACTCGGGATCCTGCTGCCTGAAGCCAAGCCATCCGTCTACACACCAGAAACCCCAGACACGCTGCCCTGACTGGGATCAAGAGCACGGCACAACTACCCAAAAAGAAAATATACCCCCTGGCCAAAGACTTACTTCACCCCCTGAGGCTGCATTTTTTTCCGTCTTTGTCCTCCCAAATTCTCAGCTGCAGGAGGAAAGTCGTAAGAGTGTCATTCCGATCTGTCTCTGACCCTTCGGTTCTCCACTCACACCTCGCTAGAGTCACTCTTGGATGATCAAAATTCCCCAAAGATTCGCTGTCACGTTGCTCTTCCCATTCTAATTCTGTAATTCCCAAGTATGCCCAGTGTTAACCTGGTGAGACTTTCACAGAGACGCTCTGTGACCAAAACTACTAGAAAACATATCCTAACATCTACTGGAATTTACGATATCATCTAAAGGGCCACAGATCATCGATTCCTTGTATCTCCTTGAGAATCCTCGGTCCTCTCTCCCTCTCGCTACCCCACATATCCCCACAGCCTCCCCTATCATGAATCCACAGATAAACCTTGTCCTCTCCACTTCTTCTACCTTACAATTTTCATCCCGTCAGTTAAGCTTCAACTGTCACGTGTAGCTGCATGATAATTAAATAGGATTGTGATGGATAATATCCTTGTTCATGAATTCAGTTCTCCTCTTCTTATATTAAGAGTTTTTTCACTGGGCATGTGGCCACCTCATTCAAAGACCCCTCAGAGGCTAGGAGTGACTGAGTGGGGATGTGGATATGCTGGCAGGAGTCGGAGCAACTGTCTTGG